CCCCTAAGCAAAATGAATGATAAAATAAATAGTAAAAGTTAGTGCCAAAAAGACAACTGCAACAACTGATCTAACAACGTGAAGAGACTGTTGTTATGATATTTCGAATGGCCAATTCCAGTCTTCGTTAGGTTTATAAGGAAGATCACGAAATCACATAAATAGATATGCAGTACTACAATTGGTGGAAGTGACGTAATATAGTGTTTTTATAACAGAAAGACGAATTACCATATGTTATATACTATGAACATAGTGGCGAATTATAAATCATCACGCTTATTAATGCCCAGAGGCTCAAGAGTCCTTTTATGGATGAAATGCGCTTCGCTCGCCTTCCTGATAGAATCGCGTCCAGTCTTGAATTTATCAATAGGGATCAAGAGCAGATGGTTGCAAGAAAAACGTTCAGAAACTGCTGTATTGCGGTGAAAACGGTGCAGTAATTGGTCAGTTACTTGACAACTGTACTGCTTATGCGCTTTTATTGGATAACCAGTCATCCTACCGCCAAGGTCACTCTACTGAAACCGGGCTTGTTAAAGTCCATAGTTATATCCTAATGAACAGGGGCAAGCAGAAAGTGAACCTTCTTGTTCTTCTTGACTTGAGTGCTGCTTTTGATGCCATTGATCATAAGACCTTGCTAGAAATCTCGAAGACTGACTTCAGGATGGTTAGCAACGCAAAGAAATGGATTTGGTCCTTTTTCTCTTGTCGCACTAAGTGTGCTTTCATCAACGAGAACTGCTTTAAAAGTTTCGATATAGACTGTTCCGCAAGGTAGCTGCTTGGGACCGATTGTATTTATCATGTTTGCATCTGGGATTTTCAACGTCGTGAAGAACCACCTGCCTAGTATCCATGTCGAATCCATGCGTATGCGGATGATAGTCAGCTGTATCTGAAAGCCATTGTCGACATCTTTTCAACATGATGCGCTCAAAGCAATCGAAGCTGACTTTCGAGCTTGTATGGTCACCAACCGACTCAAGATAAAGACACAAAATGAAGTTTCTCATTGTGGGTTCCTTCCAACGGTTAAGCAAGGTCCAGCTTGAATCGATCACTGTCGAGGATTCTGAAATCAAGCCTTTTTCCAGCGTCTGCAGTCTGGGGGCATGGTTTGATAACAATCTCTCCATAAGCATTCGTGTGGAGTGGTCCCTACAATTTAATATCTAATACCAGCAACGAAATAAAGTTCCCCAAAACAAAGTGCAAGACCTTTGTAGACAGGGCCTTCCCTCGTGTTGGCCCCTCACTGTGGAACACTCTTCCTTCAGCTATCAGGAGTATCCGGAGTGTTCAGGGTTTCAATCAGGCTCTAAAGACCTTTATCACACCTTTTTATTTCGTTTCGCATTTGCCCAGTGAACCAATTCGTGTACCGTGATTGCGGTGTTTTAATTTTCTCTAAGTGCACTTTTTGTTATCTGTTAGTGTTTGCCAGTTTTTATTATCGCCTTAGAATATGTATATAGTTTCAGCGCTATGTAAATAAAATAAAATATATTATTATCATTGTCGCGTTCATCAGAACGCATCCTTATCTGGTGTTCCTGTGGCACGAAGGCAGAAATTTTCGAGCTATCGCGGGCGACTGCCGACTTAATAGCCGCCCCTATTAATTTTATCATGGGCACCTCGGCCGGGAAACTGAGCTCCTTTCGACTCGATTTCGTTCCCGTAAGTCGCGAACGCGGATCCGTAATCAATGATTAACTCTAGTTATTATCATGGATGATTGACGATAATTCCAAATCATGACCAGTGCTAAGATCCGTTCTGACCTGCGATAAGATAATCCTTCCGTGCGCTCCGCGTAATGTATGTGTTTCCTTCCTGAGATTTGAACTCGGAGACCCGATCACCCTCATCATACTGAAAACGTAATATAAGAGGATGCTTCTAAAATAGAACCGCGTTTGATAACGGCAAACTTTTGTTAGCTCAAAAGATGGCTTTTACAAAATAAGTTGAAATAAACAATTTCCTTTGAAAAAAGAAGGCAATTCCTACCTGTTTTTGAGAGTGGTTCGTGTTAAATGCATCGTTGGCTGCCTTGAGTCGGTTCGACTTGTCGAATTTTTCTTTCCTACTTAGACAACAAACGTTTCCTTTCTGCGATAAAAGCATTACTTGTTTATTCCTCAAACCAGGATCAAGGCTAAATGTTTGACGTAACCATAGATAATAGAAAGACTGATCTTTCCATTATCCATGACGTAACAATAGAGCTTTTGAGTTTGCTCGCGCATGTGAACATCGTTCCCAGTTTTCTACCGTGATTGAGCTGGACATTCGCCCCCTTCTCTAAACAAAATAAATAAAATAAAATGGAAGAAATTTTTCGGAGGGAAATGAGAGGATGTAATTAGGCTAACCCAACTGAAAAAGTGATATGCAAAAAAAAGCTTTTAAAATAGTATCTCGTTTAATCACGACAAACGTTTGTTAGTTCAAAAAATCGCTTTTTCGAAAGTGAGAAAAAAAATTTTCTTCAAAAAAAGAATCCGTTCCTACCGACTTTTGAGAATGATTTGTGTAAAATGCATCGTTAACTGCCTTGAGTCGGATTTAGGTAGTGAATTAGGTATATATATATATATACATTTTTAACGCCAACAGAACATTATTTTTGTTCCCGCGATAAAAGCATAACTTGTTCATTCCTCCAACAGGATCAAAGTAATTGACTCAACAAAGGGCTGTGACCTTGCGCGCGCATCAGAAAATCCTTCCCCGTTTTCTACCATGATTGAACGGGACACTTATTGCCCGTGTACATTCCCCCCTCCTCTTAACAAAATAAATAACAAAATAATATCGGGGAGATTTTTTTGAGGGAAGGGAGCGGCTCTTCTTTTAGTAGCGGGACACCGTACTGGAAAAGTAGTATGCAAAAAAATGCTTCTAAAAATGTCGCGTTTAAAAAGGAGAAATGTTTTGTTTGTTTGTTCAAAAGATCGCTTTTTTCGAAAGTGTCTTGTACAAAGGAATCAATTCCTACCTGTTTTTCAAAGTGATTTGCGTAAAATGCATCGTTGGCTGCCTTAAGTCGGGTCTATTAGCGAAAGAATTATTTTAAATGCTAACAGAGCGCTTTTGTTTGTTCCCGCGATAAAAGCATGACTTGTTCAATCCTCCAATAGGAACGAAGTTATTGTTGGACGTAACAAAGGGGTTTTGACATTGCGCGCGCATCAGAACATCGTTCTTAGTTTTCTACCAGATTGAGCGGGACACTAGTCTGTGAACAGCCGCTCCCTAGCCTAGTCAGGATAAATAACAAAATAAAATCGAAGAGATTTTTTCTTGAGGGAAGAGAGCAATTGTGCTTAGGTAGCGGGACACCAAATTGAAAAAACAATATGCAGAAAAATGATTCTAAATAGTATCACGTATAAAAGCGTCAAACATTCGTTGTTACAAAGATCGCTTTTTCGAAACAAGTGAAAATGAAAACTTTTCATTGAAAAAGGGAATCAATTCCTACCTGTTTTTGAGAGTGGTTCGCGTAAAATGCATCGTTGGCTACCTTTCTTCGGTTCTACGTGGTGAAAGAATTTTTTCCTGATAAGGGAAGGAATTTTTTTGTTCCTGCGATAAAAGCATGACTTGTTCATTCCTCCACCAGGAACAAGGTTAATGTTTGACGTAACAAAGAGCTTTTGAGTTTGCGCGCGCATCAGAACATCCTTCCCAGTTTTGTACCGTGAATGAGTGCGGCACTAGCCCTTGTACATCCGCACCCTTCTCTAAACAAAATAATGATAAAATAAAGGCGAGAGATTTTTTTGACGGGAGGGAGCGACTGAACTTCGGCTAGCGAACGGCACATTACACTGCCACAATGTTCATGTCACAAAATTTTTACAGATCTGTTACCAACCCAACTCACCCAAAACATACACAAACCCGCAGATTTCCAGAGATTTATACTAAGGGAGTTCACGATTAAACCAAAGCTCGAGAGAACGGAAACAAAGAAATGTGGTGTTTGCGTTTTTTAATAACAATTTCAGTGCAAGCACTCAAATCTTATTTGTATTTAATCATGATAAAACTTTTTCAAAGATTATCTTACAGGCAAGTGAAAACAGCGCTGTCATGTGCTTAGAACTTTCGGAAAGCACCTAACAGAGACGAAATGGAAAATCTTCTGTACATATTTCATTTTGTACAAAACAGACCTTATTCACCATATCGCCATATTTTCGCGCGCATTAAGGTTCATGGAATAAAAGCAATGTCGCGTGGTGATTTAGTGGGGCAAACAAGTGAAAAGTTGTCAATACGAGTAATCGCGGTCGAGTTCTTTTATTCCCTCAAAAGGAGACGACGATATTAGAAGTGCAAAATATACAGTTCAAGTTTCGATAAGTTTTACTCTACTATTAATTGCTATGAGGACATCAACGGTAGCTACTGCATCAAAATTCGCTTTTATCGTCTTTAAGATAAAAAGATCTTTACTTTCTGTTGTCTAGAATAAAGGTAGGCAAACCTGTCGGTTGACGGATTGGATTAATGGAATCGCGTTTACTATTTGTACAAAGCAGTTCCATTTACCGAAAAAAAGCCGCAAAGACCTGAAACTGGTTATCAACGAAATGGAACACGAATTTCTGATTAGAACATTCCGTTCGGAAAAACAGGACTACCTTTTCAGATGTTCCGTTGCTCCCGGAAGTTTTCCGCTGGATCGAACCAAATAGTCGTGCTCCATTTCCTTTCCAACTGGATTTTCCGGAAAGTTTTTGTAAATGGTAAACAACCTTTATCACTTGTTTGCCCCATGAGAAAGCAGGTGACATCGCTTTTATCCCATCAGTCCTTTGGTGCGTGCAAAGATTGCAGATATCGTGAATAAGGTCTATCGTTGGGGTTACTTTCGGGTTTCTCCATGCAAGTGCCAATTTGAATGTGGAGAACACTGAAGACAACGTGCAAAGTCATACAATCTCTGGCGCATTTAGTTTATCGACACTTTCACGTTAGTCTTTCGGTAATCCTTGCAATACGCCGCTTTCAATTTCGGCACTCAGTTCGTTAACAACTGTCATGTGATCAAATTTGTCCGGGAAAACATTAAACGTCTTGAGGATCTCTTCTCTGTGACTGCTCTCCGATGCGTAGTACATCTGAACTTGATATGCCAGCCACTGGGCATCCAAGACGCTCTGAAATAAAGGTACCAGAAGCGTTAATTTTACGGTAGCTAGCCTACATATCTGGCGGGACTCTACTCAAATCTTCTCTAATCCAAGTTCTGCAAGTTGTTTTAGAAAACGCCTGTTATAAGGGAGATTTAGTCGTTTGTTTCTCTTGATTAAGATGTTGTAGTCAGTATTATAGAGAACTCAGTAGCGCTCCACCTATCACAAAAATAGTGAAGCTACAATAAGGGACAAAAGTATTGAACGCTTTACTAAAATGGCCCCTTTTTGCATAGTGGACATACCAATCCCCTTACCCTGTCTACCCCTGCCCGTTCCCCCCAAAATCAAGGTTGTATTTTGGGCCCTCAAGTCTTTCTTTTACTTCAGACAACATTGATTCGGGGGGTGAGGAGATTTACAGCGTTTAAAAGAAATGAAATAATAAATGAACTTAATGCTTGATAAAAGCACCCGTTTTAAAAAAGTGTGTCAACTACTTTTGTCCCTGATTGTAGATTGAAAGTGATGCTAGACAATGAGATTGTTGTCTTAGACGCTTCGCCGTAGCTTACAAAAGTAAACGGCTATCTTGGCTTTTGTTTTTTTTTTTGTTTAAATATCTAAACCCGCCAGGAAAGGTATTGTGTCCTTTAAGGTAGTTGTACTAACACTGAACAGATGTACCTGTATTACAAAGGAAGAGTTGCCGAGATCCTAACACCTTCAATTCTTAACTTACCATTGCGTTTGTATCCACCTCCCCTACCATCAGCACTATCCCTGTACAAAATAGAGAAAAACATAAAATTAATCAATTAATAAATGAATTTTAAAAAGTTCGGGTGACAAGGTCTCTCCAAATTAATGTTTTCTTCAAGCACAATTTAGCACCAATACTTTTCAATATTCCCGTATATTTCCTCTAAATTCAAACATTACAACCTTCACACAATTTGTGTGGTCCCCCTTGTGTAGGGGACATAATCCCCTGTGTGGTGGTCTATCTTTAATGGGGGGAGGGACTGTTAAGGGCCTTGTAGTTGCGCCACGCATTGTCGCGGTCACCCTGCCAGGAACTGGCGAACCAGAGAAAATAAATAAATTATGTAAGATACCTGTCATTTGACTTCTTATTGGCTGTAACTAGGGTTCCAGTCAAATGTAAGGTAAATTGAAGTTGTTTTGTAAACCTCTATTTTCGTACGGGAATGTATAATACCAACCTTTACTCTCCCTGAGGTCAGTAAAATGCTTCATTGCTAGTGACCAAGGAGCATTCTCACCTTGTGTCTGTTGAAATTATAATAACAATGCAAATGAATTCAGCAAATTGATGGTTGTAATCTGGCAAATTTAGGTGTATCAGTCTCCCTGGCTGTGGTTGAGTTTTTTTTATACATGCATGGTTATTTGGTAATGAAGTAAAAGAAAGCATGTGATGAAGTTGGGACTCCCTTACGCACCCCATGTTAGGTAATCTAGGCCTGTCTTGGAAAGACTTAAAGTTATTATTAATATTATTATTAATTAATTTATATAATTATTATTAATTTTATTGAAATAATTATTATTGTAAGTGGGATTCCAGATTCCTATATATGGAATGGGGATGCTTGTCATGTAGCTTAGGGATGCAAACTGCAGATCTTGATCTTGCTATTAAGGGTGTTCTGAATGGAAAGCCAAATTTTTACTTACAAGTATCACCTGTATGTAGGTAACTAAGAGCCATTTTTTGTTATTTTTAGTAGGACTTAATTCATCATCAGTGGAAACATTGACAAAGATGTGTAAAAGAATTATTTAGTTAATTTAACCTTAAAAATTCTATGAACTTTTCTCCAACTAATGAGTTTCTTTTTGTTGAAGCTGCTATGCTCTCAAATAAAATTGTGTTGACAAAATTAAAATGGAGCTGGCATTAACACTACATGTAGTTCTATTTTCAATACTTCAAACGATTTTAGGCCAACCTTCAACAACTTATAAAAGCAAAACCTCTTAAGTTTGAAGAACTTTGCTTAACTATTGCTATTTCTCACGTTTCACCTCGTTTAAGCCTGAGGCGCACCCACATTGGTCTCCTGAGAGGTATAATTTTCTTTTTAAGTTAAGTATCCCCCTTTCATGTAGGAGTCACAACTGCCGCCCCCTCTCCCCCTTCTCACGCAGGAGCTAGCATATGAAACAAAAAGTGAATTAAGGACAGCAGGTGTTGTGAGATCACAGTTCTTCATTTACGTGCATATAAATATTAACATCATTATTAATATTTATTATTTTAAAGTTCTTATACCCACCTGATAATGTAGAAGTGAAGTAAAATAGCACTTGTGATCTTTAAACTCAGCATACATAAATTCATAGCCTTGTTCTCTGGGAAGAGGGTAAATAAACTGAAAGATAATAAAGCACTGTTGGTTACACTGAAAATCAATAAGCCCTTTGCAGTTCTGGATCACATGGCCTGTCCAATGCCATGAAATTATAGGATAACACCTTGAAAATACCAGAGATTGAAAACGAAGAGAATCCAATAGCAGGTCTGCCAGTGTGATTTTTTGGTTGTTTGAACAACAGAAAGAATGCAGTGCCAGGTACCAATGGAAAGAGTTGCCAGAACTCATGGTTGTTTTCTTTACTTTTAAGTAGTATAAACCATTGCAGACATTTCCAGTGGTGGATCCAGGGGTTTCCGGCTTTTTAGAAGTATTTGTTTAAAATGTAATGTTAACTGTCTTGAGTTGGATTTATGTAGTTAATTAAGTATATATATATATATATATATATATATTTTTTTTTTTAACGCCAACAGAACATTATTTTTGTTCCCGCGATAAAAGCATAACTTGTTCATTCTTCCAACAGGATCAAAGTAATTGACTCATCAAAGGGCTTTGACTTTGCGCGCGCATCAGAAAATGCTTCCCCGTTTTCTACCATGATTGAGCGGGACACTTATTGCCCGTGTACATTCCCCCCTCCTCTTAACAAAATAAATAACAAAATAATATCGGGGAGATTTTTTTGAGGGAAGGGAGCGGCTCTTCTTTAGGCTAGCGGGACACCATACTGGAAAAGTAGTATGCAAAAAAAATGCTTCTAAAAATGTCGCGTTTAAAAAGGAGAAATGTAAGTTTGTTCAAAAGATCGCTTTTTCGAAAGTTTCTTGTACAAAGGAATTAGTTCCTACCTGTTTTTCAGAGTGATTTGCGTAAAATGCATCGTTGGCTGCCTTAAGTCGGGTCTATCAGCAAAAGAATTATTTTAAATGCTAACAGAGCACTTTCGTTTGTTCCCGCGATAAAAGCATGACTTGTTCAATCCTCCAACAGGAACAAAGTTATTGTTGGACGTAACAAAGGTTTTTGACTTTGCGCGCGCATCAGAACATCGTTCTTAGTTTTCTACCAGATTGAGCGGGACACTAGTCTGTGAAAAGCCGCTCCCTAGCCTAGTCAGGATAAATAACAAAATAAAATCGAAGAAATTTTTTCTTGAGGGAAAGAGCAATTGTGCTTAGGTAGCGGGACACCAAATTGAAAAAAAAATATGCAGAAAAATGATTCTAAATAGTATCACGTATAAAAGCGGCAAACGTTCGTTGTTCCAAAGAACGCTTTTTCGAAACAAGTGAAAAATAAAAACTTTTCATTGAAAAAGGGAATCAGTTCCTACCTGTTTTTGAGAGTGGTTCGTGTAAAAGGTATCGTTGGCTACCTTTCGTCGGTTCTACGTGGTGAAAGAATTTTTTCCTGATAAGGTAAGGAATTTTTTTGTTCCTGCGATAAAAGCATGACTTGTTCATTCCTCCACTGGGATCAAGGTTAATGTTTGACGTAACAAAGAGCTTTTGAGTTTGCGCGCGCATCAGAACATCGTTCCCAGTTTTGTACCGTGAATGAGTGTGGCACTAGCCAGTGTACATCCGCACCCTCCTCTAAACAAAATAATGCTAAAATAAAGGCGAGAGATTTTTTTGAGGGGAGGGAGAGGCTGAGCTTGGGCTAGCGAACGGCACATTACACTGCCACAATGTTCATGTCACAAAATTTTTACAGATCTGTTACCAACCCAACTCATCCAAAACATACACAAACCCGCAGAATTCCAGAGAATTTATACTAAGGAAGTTCACGATTAAACCAAAGCTCGAGAGAACGGAAACAAAGAAATATGATGTTTACGTTTTTTAATAACAATTTCAGTGCAAGCACTCAAATCTTATTTGTATTTAATCATGATAAGACTTTTTCATAGAATATCTTACAGGCAAGTGAAAACAGCGCTGTCATGTGCTTATAACTTTCGGAAAGCACCCAACAGAGAAGACATGGAAAATCTTCTGCACATATTTCATTTTGTTCAAAATAGAACTTATTCACCATATCGCCATATTTTCGCGCGCATTAAGCTTCATGGAATAAAAGCAATGTCGCGTGGTGATTTAGTGGGGCAAACAAGTGAAAAGTTGTCAATACGAGTAATCGCGGTCGAGTTCGTTTATTCCCTCAAAGGAGACGACGATATTAGAAGTGCAAAATATACAGTTCAAGTTTCGACAAGTTTTACTCCACTATTAATTGCTAGGAGGACATCAACGGTAGCTACTGCATCAAAATTCGCTTTTATCGTCTTCAAGATAAAAAGATCTTCACTTTCTGTTGTCTAGAATAAAGGTAGGCAAACCTGTCGGTTGACGGATTGGATTAATGGAATCGCTTTTACTATTTGTACAAATCAGTTCCATTTAACGAAAAAAGGCCGCAAAGGCCTGAAACTGGGTATCAACGAAATGGAACACGAATTTCTGATTAGAACATTCCGTTCGGAAAAACAGGACTACCTTTTCAGACGTTCCGTTGCTCCCGGAAGCTTTCCGCTGGAACGAACCAAAAAGTCGTGCTCCATTTCCTTTCCAACCGGATTTTCCGGAAACTTTTTGTAAATGGTACACAACCTTTATCACTTGTTTGCCCCATGAGAAAGCACGTGACATCACCTTTATCCCATCAGTCCTTTGGTGCGTGCAAAGATTGCAGATATCGTGAATAAGGTCTATCGTTGGGGTTACTTTCGGGTTTCTCCATACAAGTGCCAATTTGAACGTGGAGAACACTGAAGACAACGTGTAAAGTCATACAATCTCTGGCGCATTTAGTTTATCGACACTTTCACGTTAGTCTTTCGGTAATCCTTTCAATACGCCGCTTTCAATTTCGGCACTCAGTTCGTTAACAACTGTCATGTGATCAAATTTGTCCGGGAAAACATTAAACGTCTTGAGGATCTCCTCTCTGTGACTGCTCTCCGATGCGTAGTACATCTGAACTTGATATGCCAGCCACTGGGCATCCAAGACGCTCTGAAATAAAGGTACCAGAAACGTTAATTTTACAGTAGCTAGCCTACATATCTGGCGGGACTCTACTAAAATCTTCTCTAATCCAAGTTCTGCAAGTTGTTTTAGAAAACGCCTGTTATAAGGGGGGTTTAGTCGTTTGTTTCTTTTGATTAAGATGTTGTAGTCAGTATTATAGAGAACTGAGTAGCACTCCACCTATGACAAAAATAGTGAAGCTACAATGAGGGACAAAAATGCTGAACACTTCCGTAAAATGGCCCCTTTTTGTATAGTGGACATACCTATCCTCTTACCCTGTCTACCCCTGCCCGTTCCCCCCAAAATCAAGGTTGTATTTTGGGCCCTCAAGTCTTTCTTTTACTTCAGACAACATTGGTTCGGGGGGTGAGGGGATTTACAGCGTTTAAAAGAAATGAAATAATAAATGAACTTAATGTTTGATAAAAGCACCCGTTTTAAACAAGTGTGTCAACTACTTTGTCCCTGATTGTAGTTTGAAAATGATGCTGGACAATGAGATTGTTGTCTTAGACGCTTCGCGGTAGCTTGCAAAAGTGAACGGCTATCTTGGCTTTTGTGTTTTTTTTTTGTTTAAATATCTAAACCCGCCAGGAAAGGTATTGTGGACATCCTTTAAGGTAGCTGTACTAACACTGATCATATGTACCTGTATTGCAAAGAAAGAGTTGCCGAGATGCTAACACCTTAAATTCTTAACTTACCATTGCGTTTGTATCCACTTCCCCTACCATCAGCACTATCCCTGTACAAAATAAAGAAAAACATAAAATTAATGAATTTTAAAAAGTTCAGGTAACAAGGTCTCTCCAAATTAATGTTTTCTTCAAGCACAATTTAGCACCAATACTTTTCAATATTCCCGTATATTTCCTCTAAATTCAAACATTACAACCTTCACACAATTTGTGTGGTCCCCCTTGCGTAGGGAACATAGTCCCCGGTGTGGTGGTCTATCTTTCATGGTGGAAGGGACTGTAAAGGGCCCGTGTAGTGGCGCCACGCATCGTTGCGGTGACCCTGCCAGGAATTGGCGAACCAAAGAAAATAAATTATGTAAGATACCTGTCATTTGACTGCTTATTGGCTGTAACTAGGGTTCCAGTCAAATGTAAGGTAAATTGAAGTTGTTTTGTACGCCTGTATGTTCGTATGGGAATGTATAATACCAACCTTTACTCTCTCTCAGGTCAGTAAAATGCTTCATTGCTAGTGACCAAGGAGCATTCTCACCTTGTGTCTGTTGAAATATTATTATAATAACAATGAAAATGAATTGAGCGAATTGATGGTTGAAATCTGGCAAATTTAGGTGTAGTTGGGCTGGCTGTAGTTGAGGTTTTTTATGCATGCATGGTTATTTGGTAACGAAGGAAGACAGCATGTGATGAAGTTGGAACATGCACCCCATGTTAGGTAATCTAAGCCTGTCTTGGATTCTGGATATTGTTAGCGGGATTCCAGATTCCTATATATGGAATGGGAATGCTTGTCGTCTAGTTTAGGGGAGCAAACTGCAGATCTTGAACTTACTAAGGGTGTTCTGAATGGAAAGCCAAATTTTTACTTACAAGTATCACTTGTACGTAGGTAACTAAGAGCCCTTTTTTGTTATTTTTAGTAGGACTTAATTCATCATCAGTGGAAACATTGACAAAGATGTACAAAAGAATTAGTTAATTTAACCATTAAATTCTATGAACTTTTCTCCAACTAATGAGTTTCTTTTTGTTGAAACTGCTATGCTCTCAAACAAAATTGTGTTGACAAATAGAGCTGGCAGTAACACTAGTGTGCTATTTTCAATACTTCAAACAATTTTAGGTCAACATTCAAAAAATATAGTAAATCAAGAAATGAAAGTAAAACCTCTTAAGTTTGAAGAACTTTTGCCTACCTTTTGCTATTCTCAAGTTTGACCTCGTTTAAGCCTGAGGCGCACCCACATTGGTGTCCTTAGAGGTTTCATTTTCTTTTTAAGTAAAGTATCCCCCTTTTATGTGGGAGTCGCAA